TGTTTGGGTCTATTCTGTTTTCCAATTTGAGAGTAAGTGTGAAAGTGACTCAAAAGATGACTGAGCAAAGAAAAACACCAAAAAATAGATAAATAAGTTCTGTTGTGATGGAATTGTGTTTCTTTCTATTTCTCTAGCTAAGGAATTATTGAGAAAACACACCAAAAACAAGTCAGCTTGTGTCCATTTCCACCATGGCAAAGAAAATGAAGGAAGAAAAAGTGAAGTGAAGCATCAAGTTGCAGCAGCTGCAGAGCTGGATAGAGAAAAGCATCATGACTACACCACTGAGGCAAATACTTCTGCTCAGAGGAATGGAAAGAATACTTCTACTTGTACAGTCACTAGTGTTGGGGAAAAATCAAGAGTTCCAGGTCAGTCTTCATCTGCTAACGGGGACTGTTGCAAAAGAACTGCTGTAATCTTGTGCAACACCAGCTGTGCTGGTGGAATTGCAAGAAATTTGAGACAGCACGAAATGGTTTCAAAAGGCAGAAGGCATAATCAGAAATCAAGAAATAAAGAGGTAAATCATGAGAGATGTTCACCAGCTGGCTCTAGTAGACCAGGAAGTGCCAAAATGGTATCTGTAAATACCAGAAATGACAGTGTACATGCTGTAGAACAAACTAACAATGTGGGAAATAATGAATTAGCAAAAAAGAACTGTCCTTCATTGTCTGCCATGGAAGAATCTACAAGAACTGTGCCAAGAAATCCATCAGCATGTTCTGTTTGTGATGACAGTTTGAACTTGGACAAAACAGAGGTAATTGGGCCCAGGAATGCAGATGATCAATTATGTTCTTCTGTCACATGGCAAAGTACAAATATTGAACAAATCCCTTTAGAGGTTCGAATGCAGGTAATAGAAAACGAAAGAAGAAGAAAAGAGCTTTTTCGGAAAAAGAACTATGCAGCCACTGTTATACAGAGGACGTGGAGAAGGTAAGTGCTGCTCAGTAGCTTTGAAGATCCACTGCGTTGCTAATTTTGAACAGGGGAGCGTTATCTGGGTTCCTCGTTGCACAAGACCCCACATTG